TGACGGGTAGGGTGCGCATTGAGGAACCTGGCCTTGGGGCAGCAGAGAGAGTAAATCCGGCCCTGCATAGAGGTCAATGACAAGGACAATGCATTGTTATAGGTTACCGTGCGATGCAACGCCCATGAGATGGCTAGGTGCACTGGGGTGCCATTGAGGCATAACATTGCAACAGGCGACCTCATGCATCACAAGCGCTTCTACATTGCAGATATGTGAACGAGGGATTGCCCTTCCCCACCCTACCCAAAACTTGAAAAAAAAGAAAAAAAGTTTTGCTTAGAAATGCACAACTATTAATAATTTTCATTATAGGGGGCATGGCCACAACCAGAATACACTGTGGTCATTTTGATTGCCATTAACAGATTCCAGGAACCCAACTGGGGCCTCATTTGGTGCACACTATTTGATAGAATATGAAAGTGTGATAATAAACCAGTATAAAAAAAAAAGTGCACGACTATTCTGGAAGCGGCCTGTACATACACCATTGCAATGACTTACATATACAGGAAACCTACAGTGTTTTGTACGAGGCTGCTACTTTAGGGTTCTCAGTTGAAGGAGAAGTATTGGGAGAGTAAGGTGTCCTCTTCCTAATACTTAGAAATGGTTTGAGGTTCGATATAAGCACATGGTAAATCCCAAAGTTGTATAAAGTATTCAAGAATCAGCTTCCTTTGACCACATTCTGTCCAGTACAACAGTGGTTTCCAATTTGCACGCTGAACTAAGTAGAGCCCCAGGGATATTGCCTTCTGTCTCATATCTGCCCACACATGCTTGCCCGCTGCAAGTGTACTGTGCCTAATAAGGTCAAAGAATTGGGACACAAAATGGGACTGGAGTCCATAACGGAGGATGTCTTTCTACTTCTCAAGTCGCAGCTTATCAAGAGAAGAGGAGCAGACTGAATGGACAGCAAGAAGTTGGCCACTGAAGGTCTGTGTTCAGGCCAACCACATCACCATGATAAACTTCTACCTGCAACTTTAATCAAATGGACACTAAGGTAGGTCTCTCTGCAGATACACTTACCACTCTAAGCAGAAGCATAAAGCTGAACTCCAGACATGAAAACATTCATTAAAAATTATTTTTCAATAACCACAAAGGATATAAATCCACTTTGTGTGCACCAAATGCCTTTGCAAACTCAAAAAGTAGTGATGACATCACCACTGGGCTGTACATCATAGCCTGTGCAGAGAGCAGAGCTGTGGGATGGACCCAGCAGGCTCCACCCACTACACGAGGGGGCGGAGACAATACCAGTCACCCTGCACAAGGAGAGAGCAGCAGTGACCTGTCTTTATTACAGGAGTGGGCAGAGACAAGACCAGTCACCCTGCACAAGGAGAGAGCTGCAGTGACCGGTCTTTATTACAGGAGGGAACGGAGACAAGACCAGTCACCCTGCACAAGGAAAGAGCAGCAGTGACCGGTCTTTATTACAGGAGTGGGCAGAGACAAGGCCAGTCACCCTGCACAAGGAGAGAGAGCAACATTGACCTGTCTTTATTACAGCAGGGGACGGAGACAAGACCAGTCTCCCTGCACAAAGAGAGAGCAGCAGTGACTGGACTTTATTACAGGAAGCTCCTGTACAGTGTCACAAATCTGGAAAAAATACACAAAGCTCACCAGGATTTATGTAAGAATACACATACAGTAGCTCTTATATTTATTTGCTTATTCCAGAGTTCAGCGTAAATCGATTATATTTCCTGCAGAACGCCAAATACATACATTATTAATACATACATTATTAATACATACATTATTAATACATACATTTTAAATGAAAGATAAATTGGAGTCATTTTGGTGTTAATTGCTTTACTGTAATTAACATCTGCCTTCAAAAAAAGAAAAAAATTATCCTGGTTACAAGATCACACCAAGACAAGCTTCAAAGCCCTTCTATATTTCAGCAGCTGAACAACATGCCACCTCTTCATGTTGCTGGGAGACCTGTAACTCCAATTAAACCACAATTAAGTCATAATTGTTTGGTTTGTAACACATAATGCAGGAAATTGACCAACAACCCATAAACAAAGCCTTAATAAGGGAAGAGAATGAAGTTGATGATGATGATAAATGTCTCAAGTGGGATTTTGGGTGGCCATGAAAGTAAAATACGGGTAAAGGGTTTAAACCCAACTGCACGCTTTAATGCATTCTCCGCGTGCATGTTAAAGATTTGCGGCTTATGTTCTGTACTAACATGCATTGCTGTATATTTCTGCTGTTTCCAAGGATACCGCAAGTACTTCATGAAAACTCACATTGTTCATCTACTTTGCTGTGGTTTATGCAATATAAAAACGAGAATAAAACAATTGAGAAAGTGAGGTGAGAAATATATTAATTCCCTTCATGGTTCAGTCTTTCTATCTGGCCTTTCTAGCTACCTGCTAGCAATGGCAGCTCCCATAAATCTTCCCTTTAAAGCCTATATCTGGAAAGCAGGGCTAATCCGACACTGCAAGGGTTAACTGCTTGTTATTGTCTAGGAGGATTCTGTAAAGCACTTTTACTTACCTGATCCCTGCTCCCTCTGGCTCCAAAACCCATCCCTGCAGCCTCTTCTCCCCTCTGGTGGTCATAGGGCAGCTGATGTTACCGTGTCTAATGCAGGTCCATAGATCTGTATTAGATGTGAGGATGCTGAAGGACAGTCCCAGAGCCGGAGCGCAGGAGGGGTAAGCACCAACAACCGGAGGTGTGGGAATCAGGTAGCATTATAATAAAAAGCATTATAATAAAAGTGAGCACTATATCACCAGCAACTGCAGCACAATTCATAAGACGGAGGAATGCTGTAGTGTAGAATGAGTGAACCTTTTGAGCGGATCTCAATCAGTATCATGGAGAAGGAGCGGAAGAACTCTATCATTCCTGATCCATCGAGAGCCAGATTCAAAGATCCAAAGGAGCGAAAGAAACAAATCATTACCGAGTCTGTCTGACTCTTGAGATCCGTCTCTTGAGGTGCCCATACACTGCTCGATTCTCGTACGAGAATCGGGCAAAATCCCGCGATCGTACGAGAATCGAGCAGTGTGAACGAAGACGTGCGACCGTTTCTACTGTAAGGTCGCACGTCTTTTGTCGAACCAACATGCTCGAAAACCCGCCGAGAATCGTACGATTGTCGGCGGGTTTTTAGCCTGCTCGTTCGATAGCTGTGGAACGGGCCGGTGTGCGCACGTGCACACTGCCCGTTCTGCATTGCGGTCATCGGAAGCCCGCCCCTCAGCGGGGCGGGCTTTCAATGGTCGCAAGTACGATCTGCCCGTCCAAGGTGGGCAGATCGTACGAGCTTTCAATAAGCATACGACCATCGCAAGACAAAAGTCTTGCGGTGGTCGTAAGGTGTATGGGCACCTTTGGGCTCACAGATCCGTCTCTCACAGATGTGATTGATTGCAGGGGTGGGCAGAGCTGGCAGAAGCCTGGCTCTCACTCTAGGATTATATTACAAGAGCCGATTACACTCGTCTCACTCTCTGCTTCTACATTCCATCCACAGAGCACAGACAAGAAGAACCGCCGCTCATTTTTACTGAGCCACCGCTCATTCATTCTTCTGAGGGAGCCGCTCAATAGATCCGGATCGCTCATGAGCTACCCATTTCTAGCATTTAGTGTGACTGAGCCCTAATTAAAGCCTTTATCTAAGGCCCATTGTGTTTTGTTGTCTGATACCCAAAATCTTGACGAGGATGATTGGATGGATGCCTGGGATTATTCTTTTTCCCCATTTGATTTCTGCCAGGGACAGATTAACTCGAGATTGTCTTAAAGGAGAACTATGGGGTTAAGGCTTTTCCCCATAGTTCTCCTTAGAGTAACGGGACAGGACACAAACTAGCGTCCTCCTGTCACCCTAGGCTCAGTATGCTGCTGCTCGCGGTATACTGAGACGCCGCAGCTGAAGCGGATCCCAACAATTATGTCTGGATCCGCCCAGCTGCGTGACTGACAGCTGGCTCTGCCTATCTAGAGGCAGAGCCAGCTGTACCAGCCCCCACCCCCGTCCGTTCCGCCAGTCAGCGCTGGCGGATCGGAGCGGGGAGGGGGGAATCCAGTCCCTCCCCTGTCACGGCAGAGAGCCGTGACAGGATCAAGACGTGAGCGAACGCCGGTATGTGTTCGCTCACCTCCCGATCTACTAAGCCGACCTGTGACAGTCTCATTGTTACAGGTCGGCTACAACTATGAGGCAAGTGAAAAGCACTCACCTCATAGTTCTCCTTTAAGATCTACTTTTCAAATGACAATCTCAATGAGATATACCAACGTGTCATGCCCCTTCCCATCTGCAGCGTCTGACACATTCAGCCGCACTAGTGCCGTGGGAAGGAGCTTAGGTCAGTGAGCCGATCGCGATCTACCAGTGTTTGCTTTGCGATCGACTGGTAGATCAGGATCGACCTAATGGGCACCCCTGGCATAGAGTATAGTATACCCCTGCTTGATAGGCCACTATGTTTCGGGATAGTTTGTTTACTTGTTTTAGATGTTGTTTTCCCCTGTGGATTTTAAACATATTTTCTGGGGTTGTCACCATACTAAATGGTTTTTCATTGAGGCTATCTCTGGTCTTAGCGCTTAAAGTTCAACCGGAGATACTGGTCTGCCTCCTGGGTCTGACAGACAAAATGGCACCTACAAATGCCTCTAGAACACTATTGGAAATTCTGTTATCCTATACTAGGGAACTGATTTATTAAATTGGAAGCGGCAGAACCCATTAACTCTGGAGAATTGGTAGAATTTGGTGGATTCATGGTTTCATCTTTATAAAAATGCTTACACTCGCAGAGCTTGCCCTAACAATGCTGTCGAGATCCACCCAGCTGCGTGAGTGGCAGCGGGATCTGCCTATCTAGAGGCAGAGCCGGCTGTGCCCACCCCCTTCCCCGTCTGTTCCTTCACTCAG